AATACAGCATGAAATGTCCAGTCAGAACAAATATGCTATCTAAATAGAGCAGATTCAGATGTATTCTAAATAATAAGCAGGGATGAGAATCTAATATCTGTCAAATGGCAATGACAATGCTATGCCCAATCATGTGGTATTATTGTCATCATCATAATATTTGTGACTCTTGGTCTATCAAAACTTTATATCTCTTAGAAGATTATGAAAATTTTCTTGTATATAAACTCTTCAGAATCTCAAAACATCTTTATAAGGTAGACAGAGGTTATTGTCTGTATCTTACAAATAAAAATTATTAGGACCCAAAGATATTGTGTAACTTGTCCATAGTTACAGAGTTTATATAGTTTTCAAAAGAGATTTGAAATCTTGTTTATTTCTAGAGCCCAAACTTTCCACTATTTCCTTTTGCTTCTAAATACAATGCAAGATTAAGAGCTAATAAAAGAGTCAGATGTCATTTGAAAATTCTGGCTCTCACCTAAGGCATCAAAATGAGCCATTCTGGTCTTTAGCTAAGATTACTGAATGCTACAGAAACTAACACCTTGATCAATAAGGATATTCTGGAAATAGAAAGTTATGATTATTTTATAGGGAAGGTACACATTACGGGGGCGGGGAGGCTGGGAGCTAGGAGGCTATGAATGAACAAAGGCTAAAACCACAGAGTAGTTCATTGAAAAAGTTTGGATGTTTATTATATGATCATATCCTACTCTTTCCATGCCCTCATAAGTTAATATCAATCCATCTAGCTCCATGTATGCTAGGAGAAGGAAAAAAATTGCTATATTTACAAGATTGTTTTCCTCTTAGGAAATGCTAGTGGAGTTGGGGTGGGGATCTGGTAGCTGGGAAAATAATTGCTGCTTTTGATATTCAGTGTTATAGAATGTTTCCCTATCAGTACATGTATGCTGTACAAGTTTGTGTGTGCACATTCATATTTACCCATGCGTGTGAGTGTTAGAATAGAGTTCCTCTAGGATCCCGTCCACGCCCCCTCCAGCAACTCTATTTGAAAACTCAGGGCTGCTTCCCTGTATAAGGGCAGAGCTGATTAATAAAAGTTATTACCTTTGGTTAGGCAGAGAGAAGGCTGGGAAGTGTCTGAAGGCAGAAGCCTATCAGAGCAAAAAGAGATTATTCTGCCAGTTGATATAAAACAAACCAAATTCTGAATCCAGGTGTCTCTTAAATCCCATTTCACTCATACTCCCTTAATCACCAGAACAAAGGTGGGGAGTGCTTCTCTTACCCAAACCTCCTGTAATCATTATAAGGGTAAAGAGCAAGCCATTTTATCTCTCTCTCCTTCTCTCCCTCCCTCTTTCTCTCTCCCCTTCTGTAAATACATTTAGATTTACAGAAAAGTTGCAAAGATAGTTCAGATGGTTTTTGTATACTCATCACCTAGTTTTCTCTATTGCTAATCTCTTATCTGACTATTATAAATTTGTCACAAATAAGAAACAAATATTGGTATGCCACTATTAACTAACTTTCATCACTTGGCCAAGGTCATGTTTGCCGTGTTTCTTCACTGTAAATGTATTTTTACCTTCTGTCAATACATTACTCTTTGAAAGAAAGTCATTTAGCACAGCCCACACTCAAACTTGGGAGGGAGTATTAAGCTCCATTTCCTGGATATTAGAGTTTCAATCTAAATTACTCGGAATTCCTTCAGTTTGAAGAAGTTTCTTTAACATTTCTTGTAGTGAAAGTCTACTGGTGACAAAACACCTCAGTTTTTGTTAATCGTAAATTGTCTTTGTTTTGCTTTCATTTTGAAAGAATATCTTTGCTGAATATAATATTCTAAGTTAAAAAAATGTATCTCCTTTCAGTATTTTAATATGTTATTTCATTTTATCATAGATAAGTGTATATAAGAAAAAACAGTATATAAAGTTTAGTATTACCTTTAGTTTTGGGCATCCACTTGGGGTCTTGGAACATTTTCCCCATGGATAAAAGAAGACTACTGTAAATTTTCTCCTAATTCTATGGCCAAATAAATTAAAATGACTTGATCTTTAACATAGAGCTTGTTAGTATTAAATTTGAGACTAGAGCTCAATGCCTCTGGCTCTTGGTCGTGGGTTCTTCCGCCACGTACTTCCCACCAAGGCATTTTTATTTTTTTTGGTCATGGACACTGTCAGTGAGGACGCAGCCCGTCTGCAGTCACAAAACAAATCATACAAGCAAGATTAAATGTCTAACAAGATTTCTGAATGTGTGCTCATACTCTCAGGTATTTCCAAGCCTCTTTAAGCATGCTCTAGTAAAGTTTTGGACAGAAATATAGGTGCATGTTTTTATCTACAAACAATGATCTATCCTTCTAGTATATATCATTGTTTTCCATAATTCCATGCTGGCATTGTTACTACCCAAGAGGTTGAAAAGATTGATATATAACCTGGAGCTCTTTCCATTTCAAGAATAAATACATGTTGCAAAACTGTCTTCTGATTTTAGTCATTGCCAAAGTTTGTGATTTCTGAAATCGAATGGGCACAACAACAAGCACCCTTAATGGGTCTTGCATTCAAAATTCTGTGAAATGGGAAATTGTGTGTGTTAATAAGAAATCTGGTACATGGACTGGGTATCAACAATTCAGATCCATCTTCTCCATGTCTAAAAGGTAGGCTATCCAGGAATTACAAGTCATTATAGCTCTGTTTATGAACATAGACTAATGAAGTTCTGAAATTCCAACTTCTTTTTACAAATGAGAAAATATAAATAACAAAAGGTTAAATGGCTCACTTGAGGCCACATAGATTGTTTGTAGCAAAGCTACAATGGAATCTGGGCCCAGGGACTTGGTCTAGTGGTCAGGGCTCCTATGAAGATTTATACTATTCCAATGGAAAAAACCTAAGTCAGGAAAATATCTTAAAGAACTGAGTTTTTCACATTTTAAAAAGAATAAACCAATAGAATATTTCATGATAGGCTGTCAAAACATGTGTCTTTCATTGGGTCTGACACTCACAATCAGACACATACACTTACTCAGAAGCCTATTCTGGATAAAAATTGGGTGAAATTCCCCAAGTTGCTGCTATGTTGGCCACTGATATTATCAAATATTTTTAATCTCTTTTCTGAGCACAACTCAGATATTCAACAGCTGGGAATAAATAAGCAATATAAATCTCTATTTCTTGAAAACAGAAATGAAGTCCATACATTTCAGATAACTTAATAACCTCTAGCATCAGTAATAAATATCCAGCCTTCTGTATAAATTACATTGGGTTTGGAATATTGTACTCAGCTCTGAGTTATTTGTTTTATATATTGTATCTAGGTGTACAAATTAAAAAGAAATGTTTTAGAATATGATTAAATTATGATTGGAAGGAGGTGTGTACTGACAATATTACCCTGAGAAATGTTTCTTTTTATGGGTTCCCTGGTTCTTTTTTATAATTGTATTTAATTAAATAACTGCTCTAGAATTTTAGAATATGGCATAAATTCTCAGTGTCAAAGGAAACCACCTAGTCACTCTGATGTCAAAACAGTCTAACCTTGCCCTGGACATTGATTATTCAACATCTGATGGTCACAACCTTTTGTTAGCTGTTGCAGCCTTTGTAGAGAGCTAAGATCAGAGACAAGCATGGCAAAGTTTGAACAGTTTTATGGTTCAGGTTGAACTGTGGTACTTCATTTATGTTTGATTAATAACCAAGCCTGTCGTA